CTAGGGTGACGTTGTCGGAAGTTCTGGTACCGGATTGTGACACATGATAAGGGTGATGAGAAAGCAGTGGCCTCCTTAAGTGTGATGATCCCAATCCAAACACGAAAATGGGAGCAGAAAAAGTTCATATGGGTCAAGAAAGCTGAAGACACCATCCCATGCTCAGCTTATGTCAAATGAATTACCCAACACAGCATTACTTGTGGAAGTTCTATTTCCACAATTGGTTTTAAGCCTACAAGTTCTGCACAGTGATATAGACAATTTTTTTATTTTTATATAAAGCTCTATCCCTATTTGTCTTCAAAATGTGCCTAGAAATAAAAAGACATTCTTTTCCTGAAACAAAAGGCAACGTTACCCAGGTGTGAAACTCACATACATCACCTGCAAACAGCAAGATTTAGGAAAATTAAATAAATGTAGTTAGTGAAAATTGGGAAGTCAAAATTTGCAGGGCATCTGCATCTTCAAAGCTATGTGACCAATGCAGAGGGACACAGAGCAAATGAATCTCCACTGCAATTTGCACCTAGCAAGTACCAAAGTGAAGCTAGACTACAACAATTAGCACCTAGCATAATTTCAAAAGACAAGAGCAGATCTTCAAAATTCATCCAGAACCCAGCTAGCTGCTCATCCCAACATACCCTCTCCCAGTCTTAAAATTGTTCTCTCTTCCTTTAAAGGAAACCAGGAAACCTCTGAGTTCCCAGATGCATGAGGGGACCACTCCATTTCCACTAACATCGTGTCATCTTGGTTAGATACGGCTGCCCAAGAACTAAGAAAATATAACTTACCCATTCTCCATTTTGTTTTATGTTCCTATTCAACCACAGTTTTTAAAGACTCTGTTATCTTGACCTGGGAATTAAGCTATGTTAACACACAACACTGCCTGGAAGGACAGTACACTTCTTTCCACTGTTGTGTGAATAACTAGCACAAAAGAATAATGTCCTCAACTCAGTAAAACGATTAAACATGTGGGCAAGCCTGTCCCTATCTGGCACAGCCATCGGCTCTAAATTCACTCAGGGTTTAACCACAGCTTAGATAGCTGAGAGTTTTCATTTTGAGAGAGCTTTACAATGATGACAATATTATCACACAATTGGCATGCACAACATTGATTTTAGAATACCATTTATCTGTCCTCAGTATAAATAGTGAGTCTGCCTTACTTCGGTGCCCAGTCTCAACCAAAGATTGCAATTCAGGGCTCCCAGTTCCAGACACCATATTCTATTATACTTCTTTGTGTATAAATTAAAATCACAATCCTACAAGCCTTCAGTAATTTTCACATAAAAATTGAATATACATGAAAAGTGCTGGTAAGAGTAAAGTTTAAATCTATGATCCCTTGGTGCAGGTGACAGAGGGCAAAGTCAAGCATAAGGCACAACACACAAAAAGACCAGCACAAAACGATATACACCAGGTAAACTTACCTGAGTGCCATCATCTTTGGCTCTTTTTATAATGTTCTGACGTCCATCCACCCAGTAGATCAATCTATCTAAGGGATCATAATCAATAGCCTTGACATTCCTCAGCCCGTGCACAGGCAGGATGATATCTGGGCTCTGCTGATCATCTGGGATCATCCGGCTGATGGCAGATTTCTGGCTGAACAGCAGGAAGCTGGTGGGGGCTGAAACAAGCCACAACAGAATCTGTAAGAAAATGTAACTCACCAAATCAAAAATACACCTACACAGAAGACAGAGAATATTTAGGACAAAAGCCCAGAGAGACAATTATATTCACAGTGAAAACTAAGGTAATTCAGAATGGGAGATTCTTGCTGTTGAGTTGAAAATGCTTCTTTGGGTACTTCTGGAGGGCAAATGTGCACACCCTCCCCAAAGAGGCCTCCTTCTGACACTGAAAAATAACTGTGCTCCCCGTGTGGAGTTCAAGCAGCACCAGTGACAATGGGTAATACAGGTATAGGTCTCCCTGTATTATCACCCCTCCAGGGGTGGGGACTCCACCCCTGCCCTGGGCAGCCTGGGCCAGGACTTGACAGTCCTTCCAGGGAAGTCATTTTTCTTAATGTTCAAACTACTCTCCCCTGGCAAAATTTGAGGCTGTTTCCTTTTGTTCTATTACTTGTTCCATGGGAGCAGAGCCCGACCCCCACCTGGCTCCAGGCTCCTGTCAGGAGCTGTGCAGAGCCAGAAGGTCTCCCCTGAGCCTCCTTTGCTCCAGGCTCAGCACCCCCAGCTCCCTCAGCTGCTCCTCACCACACTTGGGCTCTAGACCCTTCCCCAGCAGCTTTGTTGCCCTTCTCTGGCCACGCTCCAGCTCCTGAAGGTCCTTCTTGGAGTGAGGGGCCCAAAACTGAACACAGTACTTGAGGTGCAGCCTCCCCAGTTCCCACTGCAAAGGGACCATAGGCCACCACTTCCCTTCTCTTGTTAGCCACACTAGTGCTATCTAATCCAGGATGCTGGTGGCCTTTTTGGCCACTTGGGCACATGCTGGCTCATCTCCAGCCAGCTGTTAACCAACACCCTGAGGTCCTTCTTTTGCCGGGCAGTTTCCAGCCACTTTTCTGCAAGCCTGGCGCACTGCAGGGGATAGCTGTGGCCCAAGTGCAGGACCTGGCACTTGCCCTTGTTGAGTCTCATACAACTGGCCTCAGTCCATGGATCTAGCCTGTCCAAGATCTCTCTGAGGAGCCTTTCTACCCTCAAGCAGATCAACACTCCTGCCCAACTCGGGGTTGTCTGCAAACTTAATGAGGGTGCACTCGAACCCTTCATCCAGAGCAATCCAGATCTAATCTAGGAAAATGCTGAGGGAGATGAGTGTCAAAAGCTTTACTGAAGTTCACATAAACAACATCCACAGCATCTCCCTTGTCCACTAAGCAGGTCATCTTGTCATAGAAGGAGATCACATTAGTCAGGGAGGACCTGCCTTTCATAAACCCACGCCTTCAGCTAAAATCTCCTTATATGCTACCGTGCCAGCATGCCTGAAGCCTTGTTGGTTCCTTTCTTTTTAAGTCAACAGTTCATTTTCTATTCATCTCCTGTTTCTACTAGAAATTTAAATTCTTATTGGACAACCACTGAACTGTCATTATAGCACATGCAGGCGGAAAACAAACAGATGAATTTCAAGTGTCTGTGCACGCTGTGCAGACTCTGGAGGCTGTTTTATTGGATGTTATTTTTGCTGACTTTGTTAAACAATTAATTTTTTGTTTAGAATTTCTCTTCCACCCACCCACACATTTTGGTAAGGACTGGGAAAGCTTCAGTCACACAGCTGAAACACCCAGAAAGCGATTTGAGCAAAAGAAGAACGACCCAACCTGACAGCACTGTGATTCCTAAGATTTGAAATATCAATCTCCAGCCCTAATTCATGTCACAAAAATGGATATAAAACTCCATATTCCATCCTCATATTCAAAAGCCAAAACCTCTGAAATGGACTTTCTGTACTGAAAGGAAACACAAGCACCTGGGAGCCACAACCAGTGAAGAATACAGTAGTAAACAAACAGGCTTACAACTGCAGTTCCTGCTGTTTGGATCCAAGGTATAATGAGCAGCACAGCCACACCTAAATCCATTTGGTATGGCAAGGCACAAGTGACCGCAATGGCCGTTATTCTGCACGCAGTCATTAAAGCCATCCTGACGTGAAGAATGGAAGACCAATATATCCATCACAAAATCCAGGTGGCCCTGAATAAGTGTCCTGTTCTTCCCACTGGTCTTGTCTGCTCTTTCTATGCTGTGAAGATTCCAATCTGTCCAGTAGATGTAGTCACTGTATTGAGTTAATCCAAATGGATGGGGTAGATCATCTGCTATGATTTCTCGTTCTTGTCCTGCAAAAATAAGGATAAGCAACTAGAGGGCAATTCCCAAGTAAGGAAATGAAGAGTGGGACTGGTATCATGAAAAAGTTTTTTCTTCTCTTTTTAAAATAAAACTTCATTTACCAAGTCAGCATCATGGGATTCATTACTAAGCAGTATCTGCTCCAAGACGTAACCTAAACACTTGCATTCAAAAATCTTCATATCCTCTTGCCCGTAGTGCAATTTGAAACCGTACCAGTGTATTGTCATTTAAATAGACACTACTCTATTGTGTCTCATGCTTGTCATCCCTAATAGATACTGGAAAACACGTTCAAGGAACATTATCAGCTCCAGGAATCACCTAGGCCAATAAAAACCTCAACTAAAATGCACAAAAGCAACAACATACAATGAACTTGAGCTTCACAAAGGAACAACTATAAGAAATCACAGTGTTTCACCCAAGAAACACAAATCTTTTGCAGTGCAATTTAATATACAGCTACCCCAAGAGATAAGGAAACCATTTATTTGGCAGATATCACAATACTCCCACACTCAGTGGCTCAGTTAGCAAGATTCACAACAGATTTCTAGACCATCAGGTGGCCTCTGCCAGACGTGCACTACTAAAGTAGATAAAAAACTTCCTGTAAACCCCTTTTCTAAACATTTTCAAGCATAACCCACCATGAATCTCTGCCACTTTACATCAAATGATGATGTAGTCTTCACCAGCATCATCTCTTCCTCCTCAAACAAATGTCCAGAGCTAGATTCTACAGGCCACGTAATTTTTCTTTCCCTGCCCTACTTTCTGTCATGCTTTCTCCCATTTGGCCAAGATCAGAGAAGGAATGAAAACCCCAAAAACTAGAACATGAAACTGTTTCCCATTAAACCACCAGAAATAAATACAGAGGCAACCTTCCCAACTCCTTATATGCATCTAAACTGAAGTGTCCAGGTTAGGGGCATAAATATCCTGCACATTGTCAGGAATGGACAATTCTGGTCCACAGTGATGAATTCAGGGGAAGGCTCTTTTGAAGGAAGCCGTTAAGCTGTCTCATTGAGTTTTGATAGTTGGTAGATGGAGCAAAATCCTCCAAAAAAGTTATTTTCTCCTGATGGGTAATATTTATAATGCCTAAGATTAAGCTGGGACAGCATTTATTCATCCACTTAAAAGTGCTTGATTCATTGCTGGTGGGGTAGAAGTTTCTATCAGCAACATGTATTCAGATCTCTCCTGGCAAGGAGATGGACACAGCTTAACAGAGGCCAAGTCTAATAATATTTCTTTAACCCACTTGCTAGAAGTCTGCCTGAATCTTTACAATCTGCTAACTATAAAGACATCACAGAATATCGCTAGCTTCAGTGCTCATCCTCCTGCTTTCTCACTACAAATAAATGTTAACACTAGGTTCAGCTTTAGAATCAGTTTAATTTACCACAGATTATTTCAATATTGTGTTTCTTCTCAATGCCAGAGTTTCTAGTCCAAGCTTGCCTCTGTCCATTTTGTTTCTCTAAGTAAAATGGAGAAGCATAGCAAGAGCTTTGATGATCATTCACTCTGGATGGACAAAAACAACTCTAGAATCTTACTGCAATTTCTAAACAGTAATGTCCCTTCAGTACTTGTCATCCCAAAGCAACAAACACAAGAAAGGCAAAATCAGTGAAAGCCTCGGAATCCAAAACTGCATTGCTCTCTTTCCTGAGCTCAGTAGATTCTATACATTCTCTGAAAATATGCACACAAAATAACACCTTAAAAAAAAAAACCAAACTCACTCTAATAGTAGCTTCTTCCAGATTAAAAAAAAAAGTCAGCAATCAGAGAATTGCTGTAACAACCCAGGAGTTTGCTTAAATACTGTATGTTCTGCCACATAAACTTTGATTTTTACATTAGAATCCCAGAGGCACTAATTCCCATCTCATAAAGGCCTTTCCTTGGAAATGGATCAGGGACCAGGATGTCAGGTCAGGAACTGCTGGATTCCATTTCTGATCCTATCACTGATTCACTGCCTGGCAGTTGGAAACCTATCTAAACTCCTGTTTTCTCAAAAAGGAATTAATATCTGCCGCAGCTAAACCCTTGAAGACTATTTAATATTTACAAAATATCTGGACCATAAAAAAGCTCTCTATGAGCTGCAGAAAACTCCCTTCTCTTATCCAGTTAGTTATCCTATCAATATCAGTGGGAAAGCTTTTAGTAAATTTTAGCACACCTTGTATGTACAAATGAAACTCCAGTGGAGGACGTGACAACGTGCAAAGCTGTGCACAACCCACGCTGGGCTGGCTGCAGGAGTCTCCACACCACCTGTCAGACTATGAGAAATTCAAGCAGTCGTTTTGTTCTGAGCTTATCAAACTAGTCTGAAGGTGGAAACAGAGTAAATACTTCAAAAGAAAATTAGTTTCCAGACTGAAAAGTCAGGGGTGGTTTATGGTGAGCCTACACGTGGTCCCCACTTTGAAGAACTCAGAGGTCACCTCTGCTTCAGTAAAACACAAGCAGCTTCGTATCAGTACAGAGAAATGCCATCATATCTCACCATCATTGTAAATCACCATGTAGTTATTAATATAAGAAGCTTTTTTCCAAATCTCCTTAAATATTTAACTCCCCATTTCCTCTTGTAAGAACTATATACACACAGATTTAACATCAGTTCTATTATTCCAGCTCCATGTCATACAAGTGCTTTACTGTGGTCGGTGCATTTTTCTGTACTGGCTGGTGTAAAACAACACTAGATTACCCAGCATATTTGATGACTCAATCATGCTTGTGTCCAAGTCAGTCCAATACAGCCTTTGGTCTGCATAATCAATAGTGAGGTCATTGGCACGACCCACTTTGTCCACCAAAGTGATGCTGTTTGTTCCGTCCATGTACGCTCGAACAATCCTGGGTTTACCTCCCCACTCAGTCCAGTACATGTAGCTGCAACGAGAACAAAGAGACTACATCAGGTAGGTGAGATTGTGTTCAGCTGCACAAGTTGATTCTTCTCAAGTTATTTTCAGTCCTTTAAAAAACCAACCAAACAAAAAACCCCAAAAAAACAAACCCATGCGGTTATGTGCAGTTATTACAGTACCCATTTTGTAGATAAAGGCAGAAAACCACAACGGACAATTGTTCATTTTCCATTCTAACCCGTAGGGTTGTGGGACGTTTATCACCTTCTCAAATATCCTTAAGACATGGAGCTGTATGAACTGCCAACTAACTTGTCACATACACGAATACACACACACAGCTTTGGGAAATAACACTGCCCCTTACCCTTTGGTAGGATCAAGTGCCAGAGACCTTGGATTGTCCAAGTCCTTCCACACAAGGACCTGCCTATACTGTCCATCCAGGCGAGCTACTTCGATGCGATTGGTTCCAGTATCTGCCCAGTAGAGGTTCTTTCCCATCCAGTCTACGGCCATTCCCTCAGGATAATCCAGCCCAAACTCAATCACATGTTCGACAGAGCTCCCGTTCATGAAAGCTCGGCTTATGGTCTGGAAAACAGTCGTGTGAAAGCATTGCAGCATTTATTACGCAGTTTAGTGTACAAAAAGAAATCAGTAAAAAATAGTAGGCAGTATTACGTTTTTTAAAAATAAGTTTCTGTTGTCAAAAGAGATATAGCAATTCTCAGGACAAAAAGACCTGAATTTTCAGAAATCAGTGGTTTCTGACGACCAGTCCAAGAGATCTCAAAAGGAGACCTTTTTCAGAAAGCACTATGTATCTGCAGATTCCTCCTTGCCCCTTCTCCCTACCTTCTATCTGCACACAAAAAGGGGTTTATTTTTTAATTACTTAATTCGCTGTAATGTTCTAAGTTTCAGAAATGGACTTCAATTAAATGGTTTTTCATGACCAGTCACCTGGAGAAAGTTTGCTGATCCCCTCTACATTTTAGTCACACGTACTCAACAGACCAAGTCCCGGGGCAAGGACTGTGTAGATATAAATAAGCCACTCCCAACAAGGAGCACTGAAACAACTCACTCGTAATCCCACGAACAATGCACAGTTACCCACCCTTGGTATCAAGGTGAAGCAATCATTCTACATGCCTGCTAATATTTCAGCTAGTAATTTCTTAATAATTTGATAAATGAATGTATCAGGGTAAGAGACATTTTATACTTTTAACGATAAACATCAAAACCAGGAATCACGCAGTGTACTTTTGCAGGTATAACCCACATCTCAAAAAAAAAATACAATCCCTTTTGAAAACAAGTCCTCGTATAACTAGAAGCAGTAGGAGGTCAGGGAAGTGGTGGTGACCAGAGGAAGGGGAGCTGGTCTCTGAAGTTACACTGCCTGCTGCTAAGCTGGAGGAGGTGGGGAGACGGGAGGAATGAAAACCCCAACGTGCTGAAACATTTGCTGACACTTATGTGAAAATACAGCATCCTAGGTAATTCAGGAGGCCATAAAAATGAAAATGTTTTCCAATTCTGCACAGAGCGAGGCTGGGCTCTAGCACTGATGTAGCTGAAGTAATGTATTTTCCACTGTGAATGGTTCAGATGACCACAGCTCCAACTCTCTGCTCACAAGATTTATTTAATGACTGTGTCTGCAGCACGCTGATTTATGACATTGGCACTGTTCCTGAAGGAAAGGTATCCACACCACAAGCAGCACTGTTAATACTGAAGCACAGCCCTCATTAGTCCTCACTGAGAGGCCAGGGCAGCTGCATGTGCCCTGCAGTCACTAGAAGTGGGGTTTTCTCTACCATGGTTTAGGCACATTGGCAAGGAAATGTTGATTGCTCCTGGAAAACTTATTAAGAGGCTAAACAGAGGAATTCAGTTCCAGTGAAGTGAATCTGTCATTTTCTAGCACTACTTAATTCACTTCAAAAAGCAAAGTAACGCTGATGACCAGCACGACCCTCACTTTAGCAGACACCTGGATGAGAACCAGCCACGTCAAACCCCTGGGGAACACACTGAGATAGAACTTGGGGCAGGTGGGGGCTTAACACAGTGTGGAGGGGACTGGACAAATTCCCTGGCATCTTCTGTGCCAAGCTGGAGCCACAGGCTAACAAGCAACCAAGCCAAAGTTCACTTGCCAAATGCTAATATTGAACAAGATTTCCTTCCAAGTCAAAACTGGAAGAAGATAGAAAGTTTGGGGGGTTGCCAAGCTTGACGTTTAAATTACCCTGCCACGTGACATGAAAGCAGCTTTTCTACAATGGATACACGTATGGAAGCAGCACATGGAGCATCCAAGGCACAGGCATTCGGTATGAGCAGACACCACTCTGGATTTTTATTTGAAGCAGGAAGATGCCTGTCACCCAACTGTGCATTCAACACTGCAACTGTCTTCATCTCCAAGAGTCTCCTTGGATGCAATTCAGTGACAACATTAGCAACTGCAGGACAGATCATGTAACAGAGACCTTTGTTAGATCAAAGTAACTGCTCAGTGGCTTTATATTTAGGGAATTCACACATCAGTAATACCTTCAAACTAACATCAGTCCAATAGATTCTGTTATCAGAGACATCAAAATCCAGAGCAGATGCTTCCTTGACTCCAGTGAGAGGAATAGCAACATCATTATTATTGGTTTCAAGGGAAATCCTATGAATTGCTGCTCTGCTTGTGAAAACTAAGAAGGCTTCAGGAATGATGCAAGTCTTCATGTCACTCAGTAGCTCCAGGCCAATGGGACAGGCACACCTGGTCTCCTGAGGTGTAAAGAAGCACAGATGGCTGCAGCCTCCATTGTTCTCTGCACACGGATTAGTTCCTTAAAAAGAAATCAAACCAAAACATATTGGTGCACTGTGGGCATAGGTGGAAAGGGGAGAAGAGGCTGAGCAGACATGCAATGTACTTACAATTTTTCAAAATAATTTCACACTATGGGTTTTCAACAGGGGATTCTGAACAAACCATTCAAAACTTGCCTTTCATTCTGCCCAAGGATTAGGAAGCTGGTCCCATCCCCCTGTACTACACATAACAGCTACACAGATATTGCTCTCCTTTCCCTCACTGAAGGCGGGGAACTACAACGTGTCCGGATTGGTTATTTTTGGCCAAGCACCCCATCCTTGTATCTCCTTGAAACCACCAGTTTTACAAATGTTCCATGACACAAAATGGTGAGAAAAGAGCTGTATAGCTGCAGTTCTTCCTCAGCTGCTTAGTGTAAAGCTGAGAAGATTCATTATCAGAAGCAGTTCCAACAAGATCACCACAATCTCACACTTCTGTTCTCACATGAACAACCATGACCAGATGGGGAAGGAATGTGGAGGGGGAAGTAAGGACCAAAAGGTAAATGAGTGCATTTCTTCACCTGCTGGAACCAAGGATTTAGGTATTTAAAGACTTATCACACACACACAAAAAACCTCCACGATAAGTCTCAACCAGTTTTGGTTTAATTTTCCCTTTTTAGGGCATACATATTTCAGACTGATGCCACAACCTGCAACCTGAGGACTTGATTATCCTCCAAGCAAAGCTTCCCAAAAGGCTGGAAATCCACATACTGGTAGGGTGTAATTTGACAGCCTACTCAATGTGATTCTGTTGCAAGTATTCTCAGTGATGTTAATAGCTAACCAGTGAATCCACTCACTGCTCAGACTCTGGTGTCCCAGGCAGTAGGCAGATCCGTGGTGAATGTGCCTCTCATGAGTGACTACTGCAGCCAGGAGGTCCTGTGACCTGCTCCTCTGCACAATGCCAGCAGAGGACTTAGAACACTGCCCTGCAGCTTCAGCAGGTGTGGAAGAACATGGAGCCCTAGCTGCCGATCCCATGCTAAGGACAAGATTTAGTTGTTTGGATTTAAGTACAATTTAGGTGTTAAAGTTAACATTTAAGAATCATGTGCTTTGAGGAAACGTCATAATGGCCATTAACTCTGCTAACGTTAATTCTGCTAACATCAACAGGACTTTGTACTTGAAGAAAAGGGCAGATAAAAATGGAGCACCAGAAGTAATGATTCCTATAGACTGGAGGCAGGAATAAAATTCTCCCAAAAATTCAGAGTGTAGTGGAAGCTGTGGGAGACTTATGTCAAACATCACTAAAACTGGAAGCCTACAATTCTCTGGCAACACTGTATTTTCCCAAATTTACAAACTCTAGGTGCAGTTTTCCTTTAAAATGATTCCAACATGGGAGACCACAGATTCTCATTACAAGCAAACAGCAGTTGCTTAATGCAAGCAAGCTCATCTAGAAACCTCTATAGGTCTGTCCTATGAGCGCTTGTGCTTACCTAAAGCTTTGGTGACACTTGTAGCTTTAAGGCCCATTAAATCTGGCAGCTGATCGATAATGATGTCTCTGCTAGCCTTTATCTTGTGAACTCTTTCAATGCTTCGTCTCTGCCAGTCAGTCCAGTAGATGTAATCCCCCAGCAGTGTGAACCCAAATATATGTGGAAGTTTATCTTCCAGGAGGGTTTTCCTCATTGTTCCATCAACATTTATGACCTGTGGGATGTATGAGAAAAAAGGAAAAAATAACCTTTAACGTGGGTACAATTAAAATGGCAATATCAGTCATATTTCGACAACCCTTATTTTTATACAAGAGGCTCCTGAACTTGACAGCCTGGTTCCTTCAAAAGAATGTACCTCTGGGTTTGTTGAAAGAGGAATACACTGGAAGGACGGGACTGAAAGTGGCTTATCTCACCCCTTCTCCACTGCACACTTGAGTTTAACCTGCGTCAGTTCAAACCTGCAAAGACCACTGCAAAGGGAGCACTGCTTGGCATGGGAGTGAGCTTCCAGAGATTATTAACCCCCATTCATGCCTTGGTCTCACTCCTAGACTCTCTTCCCTAGCAACAAGCGGCCTCTGGAGCAGCCTCTGGCACACAGCGATGGGGAACAGCGGCCACTGGAATTCCTTCAGGGCACAACAAGGCCATGGACAACTCTGCACTTTCTCAAGCTTTGGGTTTCTACCAAAAAAACCCAAGCTTTTCTCACTCTTAAAGATCTTGCTTATCATAAGATGTGAAATAAGTATTCACTTCTACAAATCTGTATTCCTAAAACTGCAGAGGAAGCAAAGCAGGATTGGTGATAAGCCCCACAGACGTACGTATATGTGCCATTGGTTAATTACTTCAGAATCACCTCCCACAACGATTCTGTGCTTCCCCACCTTGCTCTGCATAATCTACCCTGATCAATAATCATGGGTCAAGATGGGAAATTAAAATATCCATACACAACTGCCCATGCCACACACCTGAAGATACCTCCATCAACTATACAAACGGCAATAAACTTCCCAGGCATCCAGAGATCTCTTACCCCGGGCAAAGAGTGCATATTTTTAAGTCCCAGGCAAAATATTTATCTGACAAATCCCCACATTTCTGGGGATATCTATTTCTTATTTAAAAATGTCTATGACTTAAATGCTATGTAGTATGAAACCAAGAAATGCATAACAGTATTGTGGGCAGTCAAATCAACCATCAGTTTTATCAGAATTTAATACAGATATTAAAAACCAGTAAGTTTTAAGGCTTTGTCCATACATGATAAGCAGCAGAAGCACCTACAATTTATTTTTTTAACATGACCAATAACAATTACCACATTAATAAACACATAAATCAGCATGCCTATTTCCATATGTTCCTGAACACCCATGGTAGATACCAAAATAAATTAGAAAATTAAATCTCCAATTTGAAACCTTGTAATACTTTACAAATTTGCAAAACCAACACGCATTTCTTCCCTGACACAGTTAATTTGGGCACATTTCCCCTTTAGAGAAACACAAATGTGATGTACTCACCCATTTTACTATACGAAATTATCGGAAAAAAAACAAGTGAGAGGAGTGAGAATATGTGAGAGAAACAACTCTGCAGACACCAAGGTCAGTGAAGAGGAAGGGGGAGGAGGTGACCCAGGCAGTGGAGCAGGGACTCGCCTGCAGCCCCCAGTGAGATCATGGCAAGAGGCTGCCCCCCTGCAGCTTGTGGAGGACCCTAGGCCGGAGCAGGTGGTGTCTGAGGGGGGCTGCGGCCTCACGGAGTGGCCGTGCTGGTGCAGGCTCCTGGCCAGGCCCGTGACCCCATGAAGAGAGCAGCCCACGCTGGAGCAGGCTGGCTGGCAGGACCTGTGACCCTCTGGGGACCCAGGAGGGAGCAGTCTGTTCCTGAAGGGCTGAATCCCACGGGAGGACCCTGCTGCTGCAGCTCAGGAGGAACTGCAGCCCCTGGGGACAACTCCTGCTGGAGAAACTAACTAACCCTTTTTCATCCAGCCGAGGAGGGAAGTCACAGAGCAGCTCTGGGGGGCACCTGGCCCCCAGCCATGGTTAACTAACCCCACCACATGGGATCTGCCAGTCACCACCAGCCCACCAGCCATGACAGCAGTCAGCTACTGCACCCCACATTCACCCCTGCTGAGCACAAACCCCACCCGGGCACAGGCAGGCTGGCAATGCCACATCACACACCCATTTACCTGCACCAGAAAACAACTTCACGAGAATTTTAAGGCTACAGAGCAACTTATGTGAATCTGAACACACGTAATGATGTTAACCTCTGGGTTCTCCCCAGGCAGAAAGCCTCCTGCTGGAGACAGCTGAAAACAACGCCCGAATTCCTCAAAACTAAGTTTCAGGGGAGTTTTGTGTCAGCCCATCAACCTACGATTCTTCTACTACACGATGAAGTAGCAGACTGAAAATTAATGTCTTTTTATTTTGTTGAGCTAAATACAATACGTTAAAAAAAAAAGAAGCTACAGCTGCAGTTAAAAGCCAAATGGTTTTGCAATTATCTCATGACATCATGTTGACAACCCCCAAATGCTCACTCATTTAAAACAGTATCAATCCAAATGCAATACTGCAGGTCCAAAAATTCATCATGCATACTGAGGTGGTGGAGCCAAACTGGTGCCACACCAAGTAAACAAGACACCATTTCCTTTACACCACGCATCAGCAGGATGATGATCCAACTACCAGATCTCCAACTACTTTTACAGATATGGACAATTAAAGTACAATTGAAAAACTAGAGCTGCTGACTAAAATACATCAGAGGAAGACTGAATCCAAGGATGCAGAAACACACGTTATTTAATTCCCTGTGCATCTGAATGTTGCAGATGATACCAAGCTGTTGAACTTCACAAATGTCATGAAATCCAACTTGCCAAGTGCGAGGTCCTGCACCTGGGTCAGGGCAATCCCCAGTACCCACACAGGCTGGGACAGGAATGGATTGAGTACAGCCTAGCAGAGAGGCACCTGGGGATACTGGCAGACAAAACAATAGGGCGTGAGCTGGCAACGCGTTCCTGCAGCCCAGAAAGTCAATCATGTCTTGGGCTGCTGCTTCAGAAACAGTGTGGCCAGCAGTGAAGGGAATCCCTTCTCCCCCTCTGTGCCGCTCTCGTGAGACATCACATTGGGCACTGCATCCAGCTCTGGAGTCCCCAGTTCAAGACAGACACGGATCTGTTAAAGCAGGTCCAGAGGAGGGCCACAAAACCAACCAGATGGCTGGAAGACTGCTGCTACAAAGAAAGGCTGAGAGCTGGAGTCGTGCAGGCTGGAGAAGAGAAGGCTCCAGGGAGACTCTACTGTGGCATTCCTCCGTAGCATCA